TACGAATACTACTACTACTACTACTACTACTACTACTACTACCACTACTACTACTTCTACTACTATTACTACTACGACTACTACTACTACTACTACTACTACTACTACAAATACTACTACTACTACAACTACTACTACTACTACTACTACTACTACTACTACTACTACTACGACTACGACTACGACTACTACTGCGGTTGATACTCCTAAGGCCACCACCACCACCACCACCACTACCACTACCACTACCACACCTCACCACCACTACCACTACCACTACCACTACCACTACCACGACGACGACGACTACTACTACTACTACTACTACTACTACTACTCCTACTCCTACTACTACTACTACTCCTACTCCTACTCCTACTCCTACTCCTACTGCTACTACTACTACTACTACTACTACTACTACTACTACTACTACAACTACGACTACGACTACGACTACGACTACGACTACGACTACGACTACGACTACGACTACGACTGCGACTACGACTACGACTCCGACTACTACTACTACTACTACTACAACTACTACTACTACTACTACTACTACTACTACTACTACTACAACTACTACTACTACTACTACTACTACTAGTACTACGGCGACGACGACGACGACTACTACTACTACTACGACTACCACTACTTACTACTACTACTACTACTACTACTACTACTACTACTACTACTACTACTACTACTATACTACCTACTACTACTACTACTACTACTACTACTACTACTACTACTACTACTACTACTACGACGACGACGACGACGACTACTACTACTACTACTACGACTACTACTACGACTTCTGCTACTACTACGACTACCACTACGACCACTACGACCACTACGACTACGACTACGACTACGACTACGACTACGACTACGACTACGACTACGACTACTACTACTACTACTACTACTACTACTACTGCTGCTAGTACTACTACTACTACTACTACTACTACTACTACTACTACTACGACTACTACTACTACTACTACTACTACTACTAGTAGTATTATTACTACGACTACTACTACTACTACTACTACTACCACTACTACTACTACTACTACTACTACTACTACTACTACTACTACTACTACTGCTACTACTACTACTGCTGCTGCTGCTGCTGCTGCTGCTGCGACGGCCCTGGCATGTTCCTCCACCATGTCGTCATGTTCATGATGCTCGCCCTCATGTTACAAGTCCCGGGTCGCTCTCCACCGCAGCTTCATGTTCGTCGTCGTGATCTTCCTCTCTCCGCCCGCACCCTCTGATCCACACCCCTCACATCATCAACATCGTCGCCTACATCCTATTCCGCCTCGTGATCCTCCCCCTCTAACCACCCAACCTGCTGCCGCTGCTCCTTCATAATGGACTTCCAAACTGCATCGTCGTTCTCCTCATACTTGTGTCGGCCATCTTCTTCGATCGGCATCTCGTGGTTTTGCTCCCTCACCTCCTCAACACCATCCTTCTCACCCCAATGTTTCTGAGCCTCATCCTGCTGATCACCTAATCATCCCCGTCGCGTCTTTCTCGTCCTCCCTCACCTGATCAAGCAGACTCCAATCCCGGGGATCCGAAGGACTTGATATGAGGGAAAGCAGAAGGAGCAACCCCCAAACGCCCAGCAGCAACTGCACTAGACTTCACTTTCTCTACCCAGCCTGCCCCCCCCAAACAAAAAAACGCCCTCATCTTCCCGACCCGCTCCTCCCACCCGCCCCTCTTCCGCGCCCTGTTCCTCCTATGCCCTTCGCGCAAGGTCCTTCGTCACCCGTCCTCCTACTCCGCCTCCTCCTCCAACTCCTCATACATCCACCCCTTCGTCGTCCATCATTGCCGCCACAACGACGACGTCAACGACAATCACGACGACGATGACGATGACCAATGGTGACTACGACGACGACGATGACGATGACGATGACGACGGCGACGCCGCCGACCCAGGCGCCCCCGCCAGGTGCCTCCGACACGCCGACGCGCGCCATCTGCTCGTCCTCGGAGCGGCAAGCCGAGCCCAGGAAGTGGGGGGGGGGGCGGGGGGCGAAGGCCGAGCGTGCTGTCTCCGGGGCCCCGACAAGGGGGGCAGGCGCAGAGGAATGGGGAGGGGCCACGCTCTGCCGCCCCAATCCGTCACGCTTCTGGACACGACGGCCAAATCACGAGCGGTACAACTGAAAGGTCGAGCATGCACTGCGAACAGTTGCAAGAGCGGGATGCTTTGAACAAGTCGTCCAGAAGCGGAACAACGCTGCTTCTCATGGTACGTGTGCCAAGTGGGCCAGGCGGCTCCCTGGTGCCGACAATAAGCTTCGTTGCAACTATTTGTCGGGTGCGGTTTCGTCAGGGACAAGAAGACCGAGCGGCACATTGCAACGCGCTCGAGCCATCCTTCAGACATGTGTGGGCAGAGTGCCCAGCCTTCAATCATCAGCGTACCGTCCTTTGTGACAAGGTCGAGCTGGACCCTCCCTTCTGAGTCAGCGTTCCTAAGGTTACGTCCAAGAGTGGGCGGATCACTCTCTTGCAGGCAGATTCACTTCAAGAACGGGCGATTATGATGAGGGCAGCTTGCGAGTTAGCCATACGTATCATGCAACTCCATTCCCACCAACGCCTACATCCACTGAGTTAGCCCGCCGTGCTGGATCTACCTCTCTGCTAAAGTGACCCCAGAAACAACAGATTATTCTTCTCTGTCCGGCATCGTGACTGGCATCGAGCCTTGCTGGGGCTCGGGTGGTGCCAGGACGTGGGAGCGGCCTGCCTCGCGCCCGTGGGCAGCCGTGAGAACCGCAAGGTCGCGAAGCGCCAAAGGGAGGGGTCGGTTGGCGCAAGGTCTTGCGCCATGACTTCCAGCAGGGCTGGACCTGAGTTTGTTGTGTTTCGTGATGCTTTCGTTTTGCTGCTCGGTTTGCGCTGCCTGTTTTCCTACACCAGCACAGCCCGAGTCCACCAGCACAGCGTTCTAGGCCCAGCCCCGACTTCCAGGGTTGGGCGTTGGGGGCGAAGACAGGCGCACCCTGCGTGCCCCTTCTGGGCCCCAGAGGGGCCCTTCAGGGCCCTGTCGAGGGCACGCAGGGTGCACATGTCTTCACCCCCTCCATTGGCAGTGGAGGCGGGTCCACAAGAAATCTCCCACAGAAAACTCAACCCCGAGACCCCAGGAAGTCCATGGATTCTTGGTGTGGGAGCGGAACAGAAACCCGATGTGTCAAAAACCAGACAGTCTCAGCCAGAAATGTTCTAAGAACATGTCGTGCAGACCACAGAAGGTTCTTAGAACATTCTTTGGTCGGCCTATAGGTGAGCTAGGACGCTTCGCCACTGCTTGATGAGAAGGCCTTGTCCTTTTCACTTCCCCCCCTCGCTCGCCGCCGAGAAGAGCCCGCTCAGACCATGAAGGCCGGCGCGGGGATGCCGTGCTAGAACCTGCATGCGAGCTGCGTGCGAGCAGCGGGGACTTCTCTCCGCAAGGGGGGGGGGCAGGGCGCCGCGAGCGGGAGGGGAGGCAGGGGGCAAGCGGAAGGCGGGGCGCGGCACATCGAGGCGGCTCCACGGTCCAGCTTGACGCTCTTTAGATGATGGTCAATCCTCCACACCCGCCCCCTCCGCACTTCCAGCTTCTCGTCACCACCCCAACCCAGCCCGAAGACCCAGACTTCGGGATGGGGGGGGGAGGTACGGGTTCCAGATGTGTTTTCCAGTGCTCCCCGACACCCCCCTCTCTGGGAAAGGAGGGCAAAGCGAGACCTCCGGTTTGGCTTGGGGGACATAGTGGGTGGCGACGAATTGCCACCCCTCGTCGATCCCCCGACTCCCATATGCCTTCATCCATCCTCCATCCCCCCTCCCCTTCGCTTGATGGACAAAATCCTGCACCTTTCCTCCGATTTTTGTTTTCGCCCCCCGTGCCCCAAATTGGCAGGCTGTGGCGCGATTTGTCGATCTGCCGACTGGCCTAAATCCTGCACCCCGCGGGCGCATCCAATCAACATTGAATCGGGGGCAGGTGGGCGCGTGAAGTTTGCGCCGTCGCCCCGGTTGCGCGTGTGGTGCAGGATTTTGTCCATCAACCGTTCCCCTCCGCAGCACCCTATTCCTCATCCGTCCTCCACCCTCACGCTCGTTGATCGCTACCTCCTGCTCCTCCGCCTCGTCTCTTGCTCCTCATCCAGGACGCACTCCATCCTCATCTTCCTCTACCTCACCAGTCGTCCTCTTCCGCTCCTCCTCCCTTCCTCATCCTCCTCCTCCTCCTCCTCCTCCTGCTCCTCCTTCTCCTCCTCTTCCTCATCTGCCGCATCCCCCTTCTGAGGATCGTCCTAAACATGATCATGCTGCTCTTGCTGCTGCTGCTGCTGCTGCTGCTCTTCCTCCCCCTCCTCATCTTCCTCCTCCTCATCCTCATCCGCGTCCTCCTTCATCCTAATCTTCTGCCTCCTCCACCTCTACCTTATCCTCCTCCCTGTCCCCCTTCCAACTCCGCTTCGTACTGTTATGTTTCATCCTCCCTGCCCTATCGTATCATCCGGCAGCCTTGCTCCATCGCCTGCTCGCCCTCCTCCTCATCCAACATCCTCGTCGTCGCCCTCTTCACCCGCAATCATGATTGTCGTCGCCCTCCTCCTCAACCTCCCTCTAACTCTTCTGGCAACAACTTGACATAATCGTCAGCATGCCATCCTGACCATTCCGGACTCGCACTGGCTATGCCCTCTTGAAGTGGCCAAGTCGTATCGAAAAGCTGGCGGACAAATTTATGACCGAAACGGCGCCACGATGCCAGGGGTGTGGATCCAGAGGAAACGCACGTCGAATCGAAAACAACATAACCCTTATCTATATGGTCTGCTCGTACTTACTCCCGTTAACATGCGAAGAAAGAGCTGGGGCGCTCCTCGAATGCACGCAGCGAGAACGGCAGCACGGGGAAGCGCTTCTGTACCTCACGCGAGCTGCAAGCAATCAAGCAGGAGCCTGCTGAGAGGGTGAGAACTCGAGGCTGATCTAATGTACTGTTTTTGGCGGCACTGCTCTGGTGGCGGTGACAATGCTGCCGACGGCTACGGCAGTGGTGCGACTGGCAGTGACGATCGTTGACAAGGCCAACGAACCGTCCCGTAAGATGCAGACGGTCAGCGACAGAAAAGCCTGGCTCGAGCAATAACGATGTAGAGACCTCACAACCGCGGATATAATCGACGGGCTGTTCAGCTGCTCTCGGTCCGAAGATCCCACCAGCCCTCTGGGCGCGTAGGAAACTTAAAAGGCCAGAACCTCTAAGGCCCCGCTTTCGTAACCCTCGGGAAAGGGGGTACGATGAGCCATTCCTGGCTACAAGAGCCCCCCCCACCTGGGCAATCGACCAAGACACGTGAGGTGCCCCCACCACGACGTCAAGAAGAGAATGCATACATAACACACGTTTGCGGTAACATCTGGACCACGAACGGGCCCCCCACGACAACTTTGCACTCGCGTTCGCAAAGGATGGTGGGGGCCTTCTATTGTCTAGTGGGTACGGGTCCACCATCCCTGCGAAAAACAAGTGCAGAGCGATTGCCAGTGCACACCCACCTGCTGCTCCTCCTTCGCCTCCTCCTCCTCCTCCTCCTCCTCCTCCTCCTCCTCCTCCTCTCCCTCCTCCTCCTCAAGCGCCAAGGCGGAAACAGCAAAATACGGTCGACCGTCGTGGACGAGCAGCTGCAGAACAGGGAAGAGCCGAGGCGAGGGGAACGGGCCAAGCGCCTTTGACGACCAGGAGGGCTAAGAACCGGCCTTCGAGGCCCCGAGCTCGGGAGGGGCAGAACCTCGCAGACCGTCAGCGACAAGGACGCGGGCTTCCCCCGTCCCCCCCTCCGTCTGCGGAGTTCCCTGCAGCCTCCTCGGGAGACAAGAGGGCGACGGAGGCGAGGGAGGCGGAGAGAAGGAGGGGGGAGGCGAGACAGTGGAATGAAAAAAGGAAGGGGAGCGAGACGAGTGAGGGGGGGATGAGAAAGAGAGAGAGAGAGAGAGAAACTAACAATAAAAAAGAAGCCAAGGGCACGGGGGGGTAGGAAGAGGAAGAAGAACCGGGGTTAGTGCTGGGATGCCCCAAGGGGCCATCTTCGCGCAACCTCTGATGTCGTGATATATTGGCGACGTGGGCTCGCAAAGGTCTACACGGAAGCCAGCCTCTGATGAACAAAAGTATCAGGGCCGCACGATGGTGTTACCACTTATCGATATCGGGCACCCTATCAGGCGACTTTTCGTGCCCAAGTGGGGTGAGGCTAATTTCGCATCCGATCCCCCATTTTCGATCAAGGGCCCCCAAGATGCCCCGAGGCGGCCCCCAGGGCCCCCAACAGGGCCCCAAGAGGGCGTCGAAGGCCCCCGAGATAGCTCCACGAGTCCTCTACGAGGCTCCCAGCGCGAGAGGTCTGCAAAACTTCCTCCCTCTTCCGCCTGGGGTTCACCAGAAGTTGAGTGGGAAGGTGTGCTGTCAAAGTCAGACTCCTTCGGCTAAGGTTCTCATCTTCCCCCTCTCACTCCTCCTCCTCCTCCTCCTCCTCCTCTTCAGCCTCCTCCTCCTCCTCTTGCTCATCATCCTTATAATCCTCAGCATCCCGCCTCCTTCTCATCCTTTCTCCTCCGCCATATCCACGGAAACACAACAACTTGTTCATGCTGCTCACACGTGAAGGAAATTCGGAAAAAAAGGCATTTGAGAGAAAGAGAGAGAGAGAGAGAACATGAGAGAGAGAGAGAGAGAACATAAGAGAGAGAGAGAGATAGACATGAGGCAAATCCGCTTTTAACATGAAAAGAACTGCCCTCAATCCGTGAAGCTGGTGGAAACGTTCAAGACGGAAATGCGCGGCGCAAATGCATTGCCACTTTTGACCCCCTTCCCTCCATTCGTATAACTGCCGGAAAACGATGAAACGAATGTGCACCCGCTCGCTGAAGCGAGGGCCACACGTTGAACACCATCTGCCACAAATCCAAGCAGCTATCTGAAAGCTAAAACTTCGCGACAATACAGAATGAGACCATGCCAGACATAATGCCTAGCCCGACACATCTGGTGGCACGATACCGAGGAATCAAAAAGAAAGTCGGTAAGGAGGGGAGGACACAGGATGAGGACGGGGGACCAGCGCAAGGAGGGGAGGACCAGGACAACCAGGACTACGACGACGCCAACGGCGCCAAAGACGACGAGGGCGCCGACGAGGACGCTGACGACAAGGGCGCCAACGCCGACGCCGACGCTGACGACGCCGACGCCGAGGACGCTGCCGGCGACAACGACGTCGCTGACAAGGACGCCAAGGCCGACAGCCGACAGCCGACGCCAACGAGGACGCGGGCGAGGACGCCGACGACGACGACGGGTCCGGCAGGTCGGCTACACGCCAGTGGCCCCAGGCAAGAGTGACCTCCTGTGCGCGGCCCTGGGATCCGGTCGGGCGTGTCATCCTGCAGGCGGATTCACAAGAGATTCAAACATACTCCAAACAGATACTCCAGAAATCGTCCCCAGTTATGTGTTTACTATTTTGGGATACTCTTCCTGTATCGGGAGCGGCCAAGAGGGGGGCGTCCAAGAGGGGGGGGTGCAAATCATGGCCGGCGGCATGTGCGCGGCCCAGGGGGGGGGGCCCAGGGACGTAATAAAATAAGAAGAGGCGCCATGAAATCTGAGGAAATATCATGGCCAACGCCATGATGATATCCCCCCCCCCTAGTCATCACCCCCTCTTTGCTGCCCCCGACTGTAGAGGGACACGCCCGACTTTATCCCGGGCAAGAAGGACCTCCGGCACGCGGGCCGGATCCAAGCACGCAGGCCAGCGCCGACGGGCCCCCCCCGGCGCGACTCTCGGCGGGGGGGGCGGCCGCCCGCTGCCCCCCCCGGCCGGAGGAGCAGAGACTCGCGGCTGCCATGGGCGGCGGAGGCTTGTGCTGGGCTCAAGTCGGGCGTGCCCCTCCACAGGAGGAAAATTCAAAAATGGTTATAAAAAACTAGTCGGGGGGCGATGTTCTGCATATCTCCTTGACTGTTTTGGGATATTTTGGGGATGTGTCATTTTTCGCCCAAAATCCGCCTGTAGGAAGATACGCCCGACCTAATGCTGGGCCGCGGCGCACAGCCGGGCGAGGGGAGGGAGGAGGCGCACTGCCCAGTGGGGGGGGGCGGCTGGGGAGAGGGGGGAAGACAGCAACTTGAGACGTGAGCGACGATCAAAACTAGAAAAAGAAAAAACGCCATAAACCTCAACTTTTGGCGCTCCGCGGGACTTCTTGGATCCCCGCTCGATCCGCGCCAACAGTTTATGCTTATGGCGTTATTACTTCTTCGAGAAAAACCGATGTTTCGCGAGATGGCGTAGCGACCTTACGCGGCGGCTTACGCAGGCCACTAGCGCGGCGCGGCACGCTGACGCATCAACGATGTTGCAATAACCAGCCCCCCTTCAAGTTCCCTCTTCGTAGGCCCCTGCGACAATAGATACCCATTGCGGGCAGCGCCCCATTGAAAGGCAACCGTCTGTGAACCCTCAATCTTGACACAACACCGTTCCAAGGACTCCAACGCCGCGAAACGACGTGACTGCTGCGTCCTGACAATCTTCCATCGAACAAGAACACCATTCCTGGGATGTCAATGCCATGAACCAACGTGGGACTATAGCATCATCCGTTGTGCGGCGCGACGGCGAGAACTACATTTTGAAAACTGGCCGCCCTCCATCATTGAAGCTGTTTCAGGAAGGAAAAAGCACTGACACAATTGATCGTCGGATCCCAGGGAAATATAGGAACATATGGGAAGTGGGGGGGAGACGAAACTCCAGAAAACTAGAACAGATGCGGAATCCTGGGATTTGTGTTTTCATTTGTGTGTCCTTGGGCCCCTTGACCGTTGCACATCTCAAGCTCCAGGACCACACACGTGGTGAGGAAGCCTCGGGCGGAACGCCCAGCGCCCGCCCGACCGACACGACTGGGGGTGCAATGCAGGGAGGAGCTCTCCACAAGTAACAAGGTATGGAGGAGGAGGGGGAGGGGGAGGGGGAGGGGGGGAGGAGGAGGGGGGAGGAGGAGGAGGAGGGAGGATAGGAGGAGGAGGAGGAGGAGGCGGATGAGAGAGGAGGAGTAGGAGAGAGGAGGAGGAGGAGGAGAAAGGAGGAGGGGAGGAGGAGGAGGAGGAGGAGGGAAGGCGAGGAGGAGCATGACGAGAGGAGGAGGAGGAGGAGGAGGAGGAGGAGGAGCAGGAAGGAGGAGGGAGGAGGGGTAGGAGGAGGAGGAGGATGAGGAGAGGAGGAGGAGGAGGATGAGGAGTAGGAGAGGAGGCGGAGGAGAGGAGGAGGAGGCGGAGAGGAGGAGGGAAGGGATGGGCGAGGAGGAGGAGGAGGGGAGGAGGAGGAGAGAGGAGGAGGAGGAGGAGTAGGAGGAGGAGAGAGGAGGAGGAGGAGGAGGAGGAGGCGGAGGAGGAGGAGGAGGAGGAGGAGGAGGGGGAGGGGGAAGAGGAGGAGGAGGGGCAGGAGGAGGAGGAGGAGGGGGAGGAGGAGGAGGGGGAGAGGAAGAGGAGGAGGAGGAGGAGGAGGAGGAGGAGGAGGAGGAGGAGGAAGGAGGGTCTGCGCCCGAGCGACTTGGGCACGTCCGCCCTGCCGCTCGTGGTGACGCCTAGGCGCGGCGCCCGCCGCGCCACGGCGGACGCGGAGCCCGCGGTGATGCACCGGCTCTCCCCGCCCGGCCCTGCCCAGGATGGGCCCCCCGCCTTCGCAAACCAGCTGGATTCCTACGAGAAGTTTTCGGGCCCCACTTCGGAGCCAAGGCCTCGGGATACTGAGGCTCACAAGACGATCCCAGCGACCCTACGGAAGGCCTTCAACCGCACCGGTTAGTGATGCCGCCCAGAAGTGGAACTCCATCTAGGACGCCGACGTTGCCCTCATCAGCCGCGCGTGGGACAAGGAGCTGCGTGGCAAGCAGCAACATGACACGACCACCACGTCATCCAGGTTCCCACAGCGAACGAGCATGGCAACCACAACCCTTCCGGCAGCGTCTTCGCCATGGCTGGGCCGCCAGGCTACAGGGCCACCAACGCCAGCGCCAACCAAGGCGACAACGAGGATCTTCTGCTGCCGCCCGGCATCCTAGCGTGCACCTACTCCGCCTACCACGCCACGACCTCTCACGACCCCCTGCCCGACGACCCCCACAAGATACCTGACGGCCCCCGCGACCCCCCCCACCAAACGGCCCCGAAGGCCCAGCCCCGAGTGGCCACATGCCCTGAGAGGGAGCCCGTGGGTGGCATACCCGGGGAAGATGGCTCCGCCTCCTCCGCGGCCGGCTCTCCCGAGTGGCGGCACGCCCTGAGAGGGAGCCCGGCGGGGGGGGGGGGGGAGGCACACCCGGGGAAGCGGCCACAGGGACAACCGACGCCACCGCCTGCAGCCCCCCACCCGACCGCCAAACGCCCGCCCCCCAACCCGAATGCCCTCACGACCTCCTACCAAGACGCCACTCCACGACGGCCACGCGGCGGCCCCCCCGACGGCCCCCCGACACGGCCTCCGCGACGGCCCCCGCGACGGACCTCACGACGGCGCCCCGACCGCCCCCACAACGACCCCGCCGCGACGGCGACGACCACGACGCCCACTACGACGGCTGCTGCGACCACGACGAAGCCCATCCTCCCTGCGACGCCGACCCTGGCGACCGCCAGGACGGGCACGAGGACAGACCGACCGACGGCCCTTCCCGACGCTTTCCCCGACGCCCTTCCCGGCGCCTTCCCCGACGCCCAGACCGACGCTCCGCCCCACTTCCTACCGGCAGCTGCTCCCGACGGCCAGGAGAACTGCGACGGTCCTGCCACGACGACCCCCCGCCCTACCCGACGCCTCTCCATACGGCCTCCCCACGCCCGACTCTTTACTGGACCTGCCTCGGCGTTACGCGGTCAGCGCCACCCACACGGACAGCTGGACGGCCCACAAGGACGCCCTCCGACCCGCCCCGAGCCTGCCCCGACGGACGACCGGAGGCCTCTCCCCACGACGCTACCGACCACGACAACGACGACCCGACGACCCGACGCCACCTCCCCACGAAGGCGCGCCTCCCCACCACGACGCCCCTCTCCACGAACACCCTGCCCCACGTTATGCCCTCCCACGACGGCTCACCACGACGACCCAACGCCCTGCCGTACGCCCAACCCTACGCCCCCGCCGCACTCCCCACCCGACGCCTGGGCAGCCGGCCCGTGGAGAGGGGCGGGTCCATTCCTGGATCGCCACCTTGACGCACTCAAGGGAAGACCTCCCCACCCCCAGTATATCACACGAACCCGACGGCCCTCCCACGACCGCCCATTCCACGCCACCACCGCCGACGGCAACACCCCTGGGGGACGCCAACTTCCGCAACGACGAGCCAGCGCAGGCCGCAGCTCCGAGCTCCCGGGCTGCATGCAGGGAGTGACCCTAGGGCCTAGGGTCACTCCCAGGGCGTAGGGCCTAGGGCCCAGGGTCACTTCTAGGGGGTGACCCTGGGGCCTAGGGCCTAGAGGGCAGGGAGTGACCCTAGGGCCTAGGCAAGAGTGACCTTCGGTGCGTGACGTTCGGGAGACACGAGGGAGCCGCATCCGAGCGCGCGGGCCGCTCCTATGCTGCCTCGCAGTGAGCGATCGGGGGAGGGGTGCCCCGAGTGGGCCCGCAGCAGGGGCCACTCCGGCGAAGGGCCACTCCCGCGTGCAGTGGAGCTCCGCGGGGCCGCAAGGCTCGCACCGAAGGCCACAGCACAGCAACGAAAGGCCGCCCCCACGCCCGGCCGCGGCCCCCGGCGCGAGCGGCACGAACGCGCACCCCGCAAAGGTTAGGTCGGGCGTGTCCCCCGACAGGCGGATTCTGGAGGAAAAATGCAACAAAATGAAAAAAATCCAAAATAGTTGAAGATAGTCATGTTGTTAACTATTTTTGAAATATTCCTCCTGTGAAAGGACACGCCCGACTTCGCGCAAAGGCCGAGCGCACCGCCCCGAGCGCGGCGCGAGGGCGGGGCTGGCAGCGCCTCGGAGATGAACTGGCGCGCCTGGCGCGCGCCACGGGCAGGGGGGGGCGCCGGGTTCCCCATCCGCCTCCACTTCCTCCTCCTCCTCCTCCTTCTCCTCCCCCTCCTCCCCCTCCTCCTCCTCCTCCTCCTCCTCCTCCTCCTCCTCTCTGCTCCCCCTCCTCCTCCCCCTCCCCTTACCCTTCCGCCTCCCCCTCTCCCCCTCCTACCCTCCTCCCCATCCTCCCCTCCCTCCTTTCCTTCTTTCCTCCCCCTCCTCCCCCTCCTCCCCTGCCCTCCCCCCCCCCCGGCCTCCCTGTCCTCCTCCTCCTCTTCCTCCTCTTCCTCCTCTCCTCCTCTCCTCCTCCCTCCTCCTCCTCCTCCTCCTCCTCCTCCTCCTCCTCCTCCCCCTAGCAACCCACTCCCTGTTTGCACACAGCGGCCGGGCTCTACCTCTTTCTCCTCCATCGCGTTGTGCAACTACCTGATGCGATAAAACACGTCTCGCCGAACACAACGCATGCCCAGACTTCCAAACTGGGCCAAATACCGCCCGAAGTTGTCCCATCACAAAGGCTTAGTACAAATACCTGTTTGGCATCCAAACACTTTGCGATATTTGAATCCTCCAGCTCGGTAGCGTTCGTCCGTTCCATCTCCATGGATGTACGTAGTTGCGTTCCGGGCAGGTGATAGTCATTCGAAGGTCTCGGCTGAGTTGCACAACGTCGTTCTCTGGGACTCTCGAGGGCAATATCTCCAGCGCGCGCACTCGGTCGTCAACCTTTTGATGCTCTCATGACCGCACTCCGAGTGTCCTGACTTGCCACTCGAGTTCCTGGACTCGTGTCGTTTGTTTATCCATCGCCTCGACGGCATGTGGGGAGTTTCCAGAGTTAAAGGGAAGTCGTTGGCCGGCGATCCGATTGTTGTGTCGTCCACTGGCGATGCGGCAGAGCGTCGCTTGCGAACCATGCTGGGGCTGAAACAATAAAAACAAAGACTGCTAAAACGGAGTTCGGATACAGAGGGCAGCCGCCAGCCGCGAGCCACAGCCGCCAGCCGCAGCCGCCAGCCGACAGACAGCAGCCAGTAGCTGCAGGCGGCAGTGAGCTACCTTACTTTGGCCACCATGGCTATCATTTTGCCATGAAAGCATCTCGGGCGACTCGGACAAGCCAGGCCCAGACTCGAATCGATAAGTCGAATCGGCGATCGAAAGTAATCGGATCGGCGTAAATCGAGAGCCAAGTCGAGAGGAGTCGAACCGACGGAAATCTGCAGAGCAGATCATTGAGAAATCGGAATCCAAATCGGAATCCGAAGCCGAACCGAATCGGAATTGGAGTCCATCGAAGTCGAATGGAATCGAATCGGAGGAATCGAAACGAGCCCTGCAAGCGGACAAGAACGCGCTCACCCACGCACGACATGCCTATGTTTTCGGCGGTGGACAAACCCCCTTTAGTAAACCTCCATGTAATGAAAACGGCCTAGAACCGAACCCGACGCGAACCGAAAACGGCCAGTTCGCCAATCGACGTGTCAGGGTAGGAGGTCTATCAACCTCCGATGTCTGCAGATCTATGCTGCTCGTGGAGCAGGCCGCGCGAGAGACGAGAGCCGAAGCGGACCAGGCGGGGCGAGGCGAGGGCGCGCTCCCGCCGAAGGAGGGCCCCTGCGCGGGGGGTGGGGGGGGGCGCAGCACTCAAAACATGCCGGCCGCCCACCACGCTGTGGCCCTGCGCGCCTGGCTGCTGCGCCCGCCGGCTGGTCATCGTCGAATTCTTCGGCGTCTGAGCGTCCATCCTTCCTCTGGGCCTCCCCCCTCCTTCCTTGCACGCCGGCCAATTCGCGAATTTGTGCCCCTACCTAGCTGTTCGCTGGAGCGGATTTCGCCGCATCGCCGCTGGCAAAAAAAATTATCCGACAACCTGCGGTGGGGGTATTGGACAAGGAACCCTTAGATAAGAAATTCAGGGTCTGGAAACCGGTGGAGTTTCAATCGTGGCTCGGCCACTAATATCACCGCCACCCTCATCAGAGAAGGAAGCCTGCAGAGTCTGCAGCTTCCTGGTCACATTCCTTAATGAACGCCCCCACCGTACTGCATCAATTCGCCGATAGATCTCTAACATATCTTGCTGGCTGAGGCTGAAGATCTGGCCCGTTGAGGCTGACGAGCTGGCCCTTGATCTGTCCCGAATCGGAGGAGATGGCAGGCAGAGGAGGGCCTGGATATGGTCAGGTCATCAGAGCAATCACTGGCGTGCTCAGCAGGACGCCTGAACGTTGGAGGCTGCCAGGGGAACTGAACTGGCTGGGACACCGGAACAGCGGTCAGGAGGCGGGGATTCGGTCAAATCCGCCGACCCGTCGCCGTGTGCGAGAGGCTTTGCCCTCTTTACCCTCGTCGTCGCCGTCGTCGTCGTCGTCGTCGTCGTCGTCGTGGTCGTGTTCATTGTGGTCGTCGTCGCCGTCGTCGTCATCATCGTCGTCTCCAGTCCCAAGGGGGGGATAGAGCCGAATCTGTCAAAATCGGCCCCCGGGGACCAGACACCCCCTGGGGTCCATCTGGTGCGGGTTTTCACCCCGGATCCGTTTTCCACGGTCCCGAGGCCCGAAAACAGCCCCTGGAGACAGAAGAAGGCAGAAAACCTTCCCCAACCCAGAGCCTCGAACCTGCCCGCCCTTCCTGCTGGCCAGAACCAGTCCTGGGCCACATCGGACCCTCCGACGGCTCCAAGCTGGACGAGGACAGGGAAGTACAGGGAGGGGAGGGGCGCAGGCGCCTTCTGCGTCTTCAGGCTGTAAGCCACGTCGACGGCCCGCTTGAACACGGTGTTCCGCAGCTCGGTCTCCTCGGTGGGCGGGGGGCGGGGCGGGGGACCAAACAGGAGGGCCCCGCTTCCCACTCTCGGCCCCTCGGGACGCCACTCGCAACGCACACTCTGCCCCCGTTCCGCTCCTGCCTGTCCTGCTGCCTGCCCTCTCTGCTGGCGGCGCGCTCCGGGCGGGGCAAAGGAGGGGGGCCCTCTGAGAGGGCAGGGGGCTTCCTAGGCGCCCACCCACGCACATGAACACGGCCCCCAGAATCCGCGAGAACAGGCGCGTGATACGAACGTTCGCGCAATGCGTACTCTCGAAACCAACGCGGATTCATGTGCGTGTGCGTTCTTCTTTCGCTTCTGATCTGCGAAGGCTTCTCAGAAGCCTGCGGTCCCCTCTAAGAAGCCCCCCTGCCTCGGGAGGCCAATTCTATCCCCCTCGGCCCACCCTCTTCTGTGCGCCGCCAGCTGTTACGAGGCGGGGACATGATTCGCCATAACCGCCGCATGGGAAACCGAGCTCCTGGACCCCAGCGGGCGGCGGATGTGGGTACACTCCAGCTCCAGGGGGCCCGACGTTGAACTTGTCCGTATCCACCGCCTGCCGAGGTCCCCGAAGACCGATACCCCAGGAGGAGAAAGAGAGGAGGAGGAGGAGGAGGAGGAGGAGGAGGAGGAGGAGGAGGAGGAGGAGGAGGAGGAGGTGGAGGTGGGGGAGGGGTAGGGGGAGGAGGAGGTAGAGGGGGAGGGGTACGGGGAGGAGGAGGGGAGGAGGAGGAGGAGGAGGAGGAGGAGGAGAAGGAGGAGGAGAAGGAGGAGGAGGAGGAGGAGGAGACGCGGTGGTTATGGATAAGTCTCCGCCTCGTTCCCCCCATGCTCCCTACATCCGCTCGCGCCCGCTCCCCGCGGCTCGGACGCGAGGGCGCGGGCAGGCCGACGGCGCCGACCGCGGCAGCCACAGCAGGCCGCGGCGACGACGACGGCGTCAAAGAGAACGTCAAGCAGACACCGATCTTGAGCCTAGGCACAGCCTGGGCAAGATCGGCACACGTGCTCCTGAGCTCAGAGCCCACGGCCCCCCCCCCCAATTGGACGGGTCCCAGAGCCTCACGCCCCCCCCAGTGGTATGGTGGACGACGACGACGACGTCGACGACGACAATGACGAAGGCGACGACGACGACGGCAACAACGAACACGACGACGACGAACACGACGACGACGAACACGACGACGACGACGACGGCGACGACGAACACGACGACGACGACGACAATTACGTCGACGAAAACGATGACGGTGACGATGACGATGACGAGGACGACGACGACGAACAACGACAACGACGGCAGCGGCGACGACGTCGGTGAGGACAATGACGACGACGACGACGACGGAGACGACGACGGCGACTACGAGGACGAGGATTAGGACAGCGACGACGACGACGACCACGACGACGACGACGACCAACGACGACGACGACGACGACGACGACGACGACGACGACGACGACGACGACGGCACCGCATCACCACCCCACACCCAAGGGGGGGTGATGTCGAGCCAGAGCACCATCCCACACCCATCCAAGGGGGGCGGGGGGTGACATCCATGTGTGAAGTTGGTGCTTCACCGCAATCGCACTTGGGTGCGGCGGGCCAGCGAGGAAGCCGAGGGTAACAGAGGGAACGGCGTGCCCCTCTCCCTGCTCTCACCTAGCGTCAAGATGAAGAACAGGGGCGATCGGCAAGGGCATTAGATCCCCGCGCGGGCTGTGGCGGAAAAGCAGAAAACCTGTGCCGCTTGCGCCGTCATTGTCCCCTACACTGGTGTGCTTGTTTTCCACCGCAACCACCATAAGTAGGAGGGGGAGGGGGTCCTCCTCCTCCTCCTCCTCCTCCTCCTCCTCCTCCCCTCCTCCTTCCTCCTCCCTTTCCTCCTCCTCCTCCCCCCCTCCCCCCCTCCTCCTCTCCTCCTCCTCCTCCTCCTCCTCTCCTCCTCCTCATCCTCCACCTCATTCCCCCCTCCAACTCATGGTGGTGGTGGTGGTGAAAACAGGCCCATCATACACAGTGCTTGCACCCAAGGGGGTTCTTACTCGGGTTGGTCCACCGACGTTTCCACACGCTGCCGCCCGCCGGCGCCCCTGGGCGCCTCGTGCCCTGGGTGGGTTTCCGCCGACGTCTCGCCACGTGCAGGGCTCCTTGTGCCGTGCCCATCGGCAAGTGCAGGACCCTGCCCGCGAGGCCGGCAGCAGAAGCAGAAAGACCACCGTAAGCATACACATCTGGCGCTCCGCGCGGATCTCTTGGATCTGCGCTGGGACCCCCGGCGGCGCCTCCAGCGCCGCCCCTGGCGCGCTCCGCGCGCCAAGGAGGGGGGTCCAGCGCAGATCCAAGAAATCCGCGCGGAGCGCAAAAATCTTATGTCAATGGCGATTGTGCTTCTTCGAGGCAAGTGGACTCCTGCGCCAAGCCCGGCGTGCCAAGCAGAGGCCCCCTGGCTTGCGGCATGGCGGGTGCGCCTCCCCAGAGCAGCCCGTCCGATCCTCAGTCGGGTGGCCTGAAGGTTGAGCAGGGACCGACCGTCCCGCTATTCCTAGATGTCTACCACGAAGTGTTCTTAGAACCCCAACAGGTGTAGCTCTTAAAACTTAAACCCGATGTGCTAAAACAAAACAGTCTGAGCCAGACATGTTCTAAAGACAGTTCGTGCAAACCACAAAAGGTTCTTAGAATATTCTTTGGTGGGCCTGTAGGCGAGCCAGGACGTCTCGCCACTGCTTGAGAAGGGGCGCCGCGCCCCCCTGGCCCGGCGTCTCGTGGCCACTCTCAGCCAATGGGGCCCCAGGGGTCTCGCCTCTTCCTCCTCGTCCTCCTCCTCCTCCTCTTCCTCCTACTCCTCCTCCCCCAGCTCCGCCCTTTTAACGATCTGATGACCCCCAAACCTCCAAACTTCGGACGCTCGAAATGGGTACGGAAAGAATGGGCACGAGGCCCAACAACAAATGTTGTCCAAAACCGACAGCGGCCGCTGTTGGGCGGACGGCCTTCTGTCTCGAATGAACAACGCCCGCGGCGACGCCGACAGCGAGTCATGTTCAAAATGAACAGGAACTGCTGTCGGTCTTTGCCTTTTTTCCGTACCCATTTCGATCGTCCCGACAAGCGGTTCCTGGAGGCCGAGAGTGTCGGAGGGTGAGTTGAGACAGCGGCAGCTCAAAAATCGGCCCTCAGATGTTCTTCCCTGGGGTCCAAACGCACC